ATCTGGGAGTCCATGGAGCTGGTTGCTAACATCTGGGAGTCCATGGAGCTGGTTGCTAACATCTGGGAGTCCATGGAGCTGGTTGCTAACATCTGAGAGTCCATGGAACTGGTTGCTAACATCTGGGAATCCATAGTGCTAGAGGCTAACATCTGGGAGTCCATGGTGCTAGAGGCTAGCATCTGGGAGTCCATGGTGTTGGACGCTAGCATCTGGGAGTCCATGGTGTTGGATGCTAGCATCTGGGAGTCCATGGTGTTAGATGCTAACATATGGGTCTCCATGGTGTTAGAAGCTAACATATGGGATTCTTGGGCCATCAAGGGATCCACGCCTACTGTTACAGAAGTCTCCCCAACTAATGTAGTAGGCAGCTCCTGTGCTACCGTATTATAGGATTCCAGCGCTGTCGTCGAGGGCACCTCCAGGGACTGCGACACGGTCATCGTGGACAGCTCCGATGTTGTCACCACAGACTGAACAGAGATCTCCAGCGCCACGGTTGCCACAGGCTGCCCAGGCAACTCTGGCGCCCCAGGCTGCCCAGGCAACTCCAGCACCCCTGTTGCCAGAGGCTGCCCCAAAAGCTCCAGTGCTCCAGCTGCCCCAGACTGCCCCGAGAACTCCAGTGCCCCAGTTGCCATGAGCTGCCCGGGCAATTCTAGTGCCCCAGTTGCCACAGACTGCCCTGACAACTCCAGTGCCCTAGTTGCCGAAGGCAGCCCAGGCAACTCTGGCACCCCAGTCACTGAAGGCTGCCCAGACAACTCCAGTGCTGTTGTTGCCACCGGCTGTCCTGGCAACTCCAGCACCATCGCTGCCTCAGGCTGCCCCAGCAACCCTGTTGCGGCTGTCACCTCAGGATGCCCAGGATGTTCCACCGCTGTCATCCCCACAGGCTGCTCGAACTCTGCCGTCGTCACAGGTTGTTCGGTCAACTCCATTGCTACTGTTACCGCAGGCTGCCCAGGCAACTCTACTGTCGCTGACACTGTCGACAGCCCTGGCAACTCCTGCGCCATCACAGGTGGCTCTGGTACCTCCTGTGGTGGCTCTAACCCCATGGATGGTGCTAGAGGCCCTGGCAATTCCTGCGACAACTGTGGCACTGGTGTCACAGAGGGCCCTGGCAACTCAGGCACTGCTGTCGCAGGGGGCCCTGGCAACTCAGGCACTGGGGTAGAAAGGGGCCCTGACAACTCTGACACTGGGGTAGCAGAGGGCCCAGGTAACTCCAGCACTGGAGTCACAGGGGGCCCCTGCAACTCCGGCATGGAGGTCGCAGGTGGCCCCGGCAACTCCAGCGCTGAGGCCACCGACGACTCCGGCAGCTCCAACGCTGAGGTCTTAGACAGCTCCAACAAATCCTGAGGTCTTGTCATGGATGGATCTGCAATCTCTGATGGTACAGGATGCTCTGGCAATCTTAGCACTTCACTTGCAGATGACTCTGGACAATCCTTTGTTGTCGATGTGCTTGGTTCAGGGTGCACCTCAGTAGATGTCTCTGATGCTATCACACGGGTTTCTGATGGCTGTAGTTCTTTTGCTACTGGAGGCTCTGCCAACATGATCTTTGATGGCTCTGGAGAGGTGTGCTCCAAAGATTTCAGCGCAGACTTCATCTGATACTCCATAGACATTGTTGCAAGTGGCTCAGATGACTTCAGCACTACAGTTGTAGGCACCGGTGCTGTTGCAAAGGAATCCACAATCTTTGTCACAGATGGTTCCAACATTACTGCCATAGACTGCTCTGAGATTACTGATGTAGATCCAACTGGTATTTCTGCAGTTTTTGTAGCTGGCTTCAGAGTTTCTAGGATGTGTGACTCTGATAATTCCATTGATGATACGGGAGGTTCTAGCACAACTGCAGAGGATTCACTGGTCTCAGATAGGCCAAATGCTTTTATAGGATGCTCCAGTGCCATTGATGAAGGTTCAGAATCAAACTTTAAAAAGGAATCAGATTCTAAATCTATATTCCCATCATGATGAGATTTCAGCTTTGACTCAGATTCTTCTGGCTGTCTCTTATACTTTTTTTCCTTTTCTTTCTTCTTCTTCTTCTTTTTGTTTTTGTGCTTTTTATGCTTCTTTGATTTTTTGCTAGGAATTTCATCAGTAGGATCTGTTTGTACAGATACACATCTACTTTTTCTGGAGGCCTCTTTCAAGTCTGAAAATAATGGAAATTATTTGGTCAGACATTCCCCCAAAATACATGAAGATACATCACCTTAACCAAAATTTTCATTCCACACTGAAACAACGAACTGTAATTCTTCATGTTAAATGAAAAGTTACCTATTATGGAGACTACCACTTTTCCAACTTACTTTCCACAAATAAATCCTGGCCTAAAAATAAGTCCTTAGCCACAGATGGTGGTGGTAGTGATGGTGGGATACAGCTATAATCCTGGCACTCTGCAGACTGAGGCAAAAGGATTCCATGTTGGAGGATAGCTGGACTACACAGTAAAACTCTCTCTCTCACACAAAATAAAACCATACATACCAAAAACAAGTAATTTCTTAATTTGTCAAAAATTTCTTTTTTGAGACAGGGTCTCACTACGTAGACCAGGCTGACCTTGATCTCATGGCAATCCTCCTGCTGACTCTTCTGAATGCTGAGATTACATGTATGCATCACCACAGCCAGCAAAAAACTTGTTGAATGACCCGAAAATGTGTTTTAGAGCTGGGAATACAGCTCAACGTTAGAACACTTGCTAGTGTGCACAATAACATGGGATCAAACATAAAAAAGTGGGGGAGAGGGTCTTAAATCCTATTAAAATGATCATTTTTCCACTTCTCAAATTATACCAAATTACTTTCAAATTAAATGTATCAATGAATAAATTTCATATTGTTGTAATTTCTATTAAAATTTCCAACATTTTATCAGACTGGCCTTGAACTCACTATGTAGCCCAGGATGGCCTCAAACGCAAGGTTCCTGCCTCAGCCTCCAGAGTGCTGGGATTACAGGCCTGCATTGCTATGCCCAGCCCATTCATCATTTAACAGATGAATGGCCCTGGCCAAACTACTGATATACTAGAAGACAAATACACAAAGTACACAGAACAATGCCTGGTTCATAGTAAGCTCTCAGCAAATGTGAGCAATTGGTGTAAGTGTATACACACGTATCTGTCAACAAATTTTACATACTAACATCAACTCAAACTATACCTTATCATACTTTGTAATATCCTGATAAAAATAACATCTTTTCCTAAAACATTCTTTCTAAATTACTAAGAAATAGAGGAGAATTTCCATATCCCTTAACATGTAACTTAAGAACATTTCAGGGCAGGGAATACAACTCAGTAGTAGAGTACTTGCTTATTAGCATATGTAAGGCCCCAGGTTTGAGCCCCAGCTAAACAAATAAATTTCAATTTGCTTATGCTACAGAATTTATATTCTACTTATGAGACAGAATTTACCCTAATGCTAATAGTAAATAAGATAAATCTTAGTGGGTACAGAAAAGGCAAATCAGATGTTCTGACCATAATTATATAACACAGAAAAAAGAGGTGGGTATATAGTTCAGTAATAACAGTACTTGCCTAGCATACATAAGGACCTGGGTTCTACCCCTAACTCCTTCCTCACCAAGAAAAAAGCAGGCTGAGACAGCAGGAGCACTTGAGATCACAAGTTCAAGACCAGCCTGGACAATACAGTGAGATCCCATTGCAAAATAAAGATTATAAAAAAAATAGGGGCCAGGGATAGAGCTCAGCACACAGCGTGGTCCTGAGTTCAATTTCTGGTACCAAAAAAAAAGGAAAAGAAAAAAAAATAGCAGGATGTGGTGGCACACACATGCAATCCCACCACTCAGGAGGCTAGGGCAGGAAGATCTTAAATTTGAGAGCCAGCCTGGGCTCCACAAGTTCCAGGCCAGTCTGTACTACACAGCAAGACCTTGTCTCCAAAAAAAAGGAAGAAGAAACTAACATATGACAAGATATATGCCACTGTATATAAAATGCTATTCCATAACATCAAATGTTACGTTGTACCTGAAAAAGAAAAGTTTATTAGAGCCACAAATCTAAGCAAGGCTAAACCAGGGTAGGAAGAGGAAGACAAAATCTAATTCCAAAACTAAATGAACACAATGACGTTTTACTTAATTCTTATGTTTAAACTTAAATCCTTCACTCCTTAATACCCATTATTTATTTAATCATTTCCAACAGAGCTACTGGCAAGCATAAGGTCCTGAGTTCAATTTCCTATACAAAAAAAAAAAAAAAACCACAAAGCTAAATATCCGAGCAAGCACTTCCCTTCATTGTGCTTTTAAATGGGATGGATGTAAAAACAAGACAATCTTTTTTTGTTTTTTGGTACCCGGAATTGAACTCAAGACCTCATGCTTGCCAGCAGGAGCAGTACCATTGAGCTATATCCCTGGCAACAAGACAATCTCTAAATCTGGGGGTTTTTTTGTTTCTGTCTTTTTGAGACACTTTTGCCATGCAGTTCAGGCTAGCCTTGAACTCACTTTGTAGCCCAGGCTGGCCTCAAACTCAGTGTTCCTCCTCCCTCAGCCCCTCAAGTGCTGGGATTACAGTTGTGCCACCACACGCCGTCAGCCTGGGCTTTAAAAATAAACCACAAATAGTATGTTTTAGAACTCACTACATAAGCCGGGCATGGTGGCACATGCCTGTAATCCCAGCACTCGGGAGGCTCAGGCAGGAGGATCGTTGCAAGTTCAAGACCAGCCTGGGCTACAAAGTGAGCTCAAGGCCAGCCTGAACTGCGTATCGAGACCCTGTCTCAAAAAGGCAAAAAAAAAAAAAGAAAAAGAAATCACTACATATCTGGTCCAGGCTACTGAACCTTTCTGAAACTGACTTTTACAACTGTTCAATAAAAATTCACGACAGAGTGAGACCCTGTCTCAAAAAAAAAAACCCCACATTCAAAAATCCTAGCCCTGAGATCAGTCAAAAATTATATCCTACCACCAACACGAACAAGTCAATCAATGCTCACTCATATTTCAGTATAAGTGTTTTCAAAGGAAGATTTTTAAGAATTTCAGTAAATCAATCACAATATTCATTTTAAAATAATAAAATTAACCTTCAAATTTCAAAATCTTTACAATTTTGAAAACAATAATTATTTCCAAATTACCTGGCTTGTATCGTAGTTCTGTATCTAGGACCCCAGAAAGTACTTCTTCTATCTTCTGTACTATTTCTTCATTTGGTAGGCTCCTGGCAGAGGCAGCAGCATCACCTGCCTGGTTTCCTTCAATAGGTGTATTTGTTTCACCATTCAGCTGGCCTTCACTCCTTCCGCTTGATGAGAAAAATTTTTCAAAATTCATTATTATTTTATCATACCATATAAGTCCTTGAGTTACTATCAATAATCTAATCAATATAACTTTACATTGTATTATGTTGTCCATACATTTCATCTTTTCCCTATTTTAGGTATTTGCCATCAGCAAACATCTTTTTTAGACAAATTTTCAAAACTGTGGAAATTTAAAAGAATACCTTTAAAACCAGATTTCTAAGCACCTCTTTCAAATAATTCCAGAAACCTAACTTGAGGCTTTTGGTTACCTACATTATTTGTCTCAAGGAAAAACATTAATTAATAAGAGGCCAATCAAAAAATCCTAAGAAAAATAATGACCTAACACTAGGGTAGGAACTATGGCCACAATAAAGCCACACCTGTGCATAGATCACAATTACAATCAACAATTTCAAGGAACACAGAACTCTGCCATAGAACACAGTAAGTAGAAAAGGTAACTTGTAACTTCTGTTCAGTTTTACACTAGTACCTTTTTTTTTGGCGGGGGGGGGGGTGTGTCGTTTTGAGACAGGGTCTCACTATGCAGTCCACTGGGGGTCTGGAACTCTATCCTCCTGCCTCAGCATCCCAAGTGCTGGGATTACAGGCATGCACCACCACACCGAGCCTTACACTACTACTAAAATGACATAAAGCTGAAAAAGAAAAATGTATTTATATAACTTATACCTCACTATCAAAAACCTAGGCATTAAAAAATGTCTGATAGGCCAGGGCATGGTGGTGCGTGCCTGTAATCCCAACACTGGAAAGCCAGAGGCAGGAGGATCGCTGCAAGTTCAAGGCCAGCATAGGCTACATGGTGAGTTCAAGGCCAGCATGAACTACACATCAAGACCCTGTCTCAAAATAAAACAAAACAAAAACGAAAGTCTGATGTTCAAAAAAATTCACATGTAACACGTGACCACACATACTATCAGCTTAAAATATTTTCAATTCAAAAGGCCAGAAGAATTTTAACATAGATAAAAATGTCATTCATGTAGTAATTTTCATTATTTTCATGCAAACTTGCAAAGTTTCAAGACTCAATTTCAAGAACACACACAATTTTAATTTAACTTTAATTTTAGCTAACTGAAAACACATCACTACTAGACGAGTCAGGAACGTAAAAAAAAAAATTCGTTAGTTAGCTAAATGTTAAAGTACACTTGATTTCTAGTAAAATCAATCATCCAACAGTAACTGTCAACATTTACTGAGTACTAACTGGTGTCACTGTTGTACTTTTAACTTACTTAATCCTAACAAAACTTAAAATCATCACTATTATTCTGATTTTATAAATGAGAGAAATGCACAGATAAAACAAGAAACTTAGCTGAAGGTCACACAGCTACTAAAAGCTGGTACATTCAAAACCAGACCCTGTATTTTTAAATACCTCTATATACAATAGGCCACTTATTCATCTAAAAGTCACCTCATTACCAACAATGATGAATGTAAAAGCAGATGAGAAAAGGAAAAAGTAGCTCACTGAAATGGCAAATTTACAGTTTTCAGACCAAATAATAATGCATTAATACATGTTGAAGAGAAGCTCTTAAGTTTCTCTAGTAAACAATTGCTTTGTCTCACATCTCTTTTATTAGAGTTTATGGAGTACTTACAATTTTCCTCAACACTTATATATGATTTTCAGGAATTTAAGAATCAGAAAAGTAACTTCCAGGACATTAATTGCAATGAAAGAAAAACAGTGAGAATTTCAAATCATCTATATATAACCAACAATATATCCCTATACAAGAATTTTACGCGGCTTTGGAAAATGTCTGAAGATAAATTTTACGCGGCTTTGGAAAATGTCTGAAGATAAAGACTGTGCTGGACAAATTTGCTCACAATGTTATACGCTGAAAAACAACCAATACAAAACAACACGACCACAGTAACAACAAAAAAATGCTAATGTGTTTACAAAAGGAGAAACTGAAAAGACATAACACCAGTAACTGGTAGTTTGCTTTTCTTCTTCATAATTTCTGAATTTTCTACAATAAAAAAGGACTCATTTCTTAACACACTGCCTTAAAGCCACAAATTCAATTACGCAAGCAACTATTAAATTCATGCAAATATTTGAAAGATTTAAAGAAAATGATACTCCTTTAGCTCAGGTCTCATCCTAAAATCGCTAAAAATATCTCAAAACGTTAAAAAGAAACTTAGTGAGTAGATTATTTCCCACTTTTAAAACATCATATCCTGCAAAAATGAAAATTCTAGCAACAATACATCACTGCCCCAGTAATCCTGTTAATTTGGGTACCTAATTTACAACTGCGTTTTCAGCTGGCTTTCAAACGCACAATGTACTTAACTGCCAACCTTTAAAATATAGTAAAAACGTTTGAAACCAGAAGTATCTACTTTTCAGTATCTTCTCCTATCTTCAAACTTTAAGGAAATTAGTACCTTGTAGAAAGCAAAAATATTAACAGAGAACCACTTTAAGATACACAACAACTTCCTTTCGGAGTAAACAAATACTGTACTTCTTTAGAAATCTCTTCCTCTTTAGGTTTCGTGGCGCCCAGGGTTTAACCTACATAAAATCTAGCGGCAACAGCAAAAAATAACAAGTTCTACTACTCACAAAGTCCACTTTCCACTTGGTAAGTTAAAAAGTCATTAATATTTCAAAGCTCCATTATCCTCTCACATATTTCATTAAGTGAATAACAACAATTTGAGATGTTTTCATTTAAATCTCTAAACTATCAGAATGTTGCTGGGTGGAAATCACAGAACACAAGGCCCGAAAAACATCATCAATTAATCCCGACCCCCACGCGTTCTGAAGCCACTAATAATAAAGCGGATTTAAGATTAGCCAAGAAACGGCCGGTCGTTAGAGACCCTTTCCGGTCACCGACACCGGCCGGCGACAGCCGCGGAGGCGGGGAGGGGGAGGGGAGAGGCGGCGGAGGAGGAGCCGAGAGGGAGGAACTAGGCCCGGCCCCGATGGACACCCGGGCCCGTGAGTGGCAAAGGATAGGGGGTGTCCAAACGAGAGAAAGGTGAGCATCTTAGTCGGTTCAAAAAAAGGAGCCCGCGATTACCAAGGAAAGGACCCGCTTCTCGGGAGAAAGGGAAGGAGCGGATGGAGGATTGGGGGGGAGGGCCCGGAAAATGGATCCCCGGCCCAGGCGGGGCCGTAGCGGGGCCTGAGCCGAGGAACGATGGCGTCTCGGAAGAAAGGCGCCGAAGAAAGATAGATGGGGTGCGAACGGCTCTTTGGGAGCAGAAGAGTCCGGGAGGTAGTTACCTGGAAAGCTCTTGTTGTATTTCTCGGAATTTACTGACCACGAAAGACCTAAAAACCTGCTCGATGTCGGCCGCCATGGCGTCCGCTCCGTTCTCTCAACTCCTCCTCGCTAGTCCTCCAGGCTCCCAGCATGCGTCGGGAGAAGGCGCAGCGGCCAATTCCTTTTCTCGTCTTCCTGATTGGCTCTCATAGGAGCGTCAGGCCCGGCACGCTCCCCCTATGGGCCAATCAGTGAGCACGGCCCCCCCCTCCTCGGCTGTTTCCGAGCGGCTTGGGTAGAGGTGCTGACGTTTGCGCCGCGCACGACTCGGTCCGCCATGTTAGTGTCTGACGCAGGCGCCATTACAGAAGTAGCTGTTGAGACGACTTTGGAGTTTGGTTTCCAACAACGTTTAAGGGCCCTTAGAGGCTTGATGTAAACGACTGAACTCCTGAGACTAAAGGCCATGAGGGACAGGAGCAAAACAGGGCCACACGGTGTTTGACACAAGGTTTCATAACGTTTGCTGGTAGTGCCAAATTGTTTTGTCAGGGACATGGCGTATGGGAAAGTGCTCATCAGCCCCGTCCCCACAGTAATGGTAGTAACGCATTTTTATCCCTTCGTCTCCGATCATCGCACTCATTTTTTCAGCAATAGGTCGCTGGTGCTGAGCGACCTGACTTCAAAGCCCGGCCAACCCTGACCCCCCAGCTTCCCGCAGCCGGCCGAGCCTGGCTCGGGGCTCCGCGGGCAGCGACGGACACGTCACGTGGCACCGGGCGCCGCAGCGCCACCTACAAACGTGCCCGGGCTTCAGCCGCGTTCGCGGGGCAGCCGCTCAGGCCGCGCCCAGG